ATCGGCTGGCTTACTTGATCTGCCATCACCTACGATCACGGTACGTGCGCTAACTGTCTGGCAGCTCCACTGTAGCCGTGTTGATGCCTGGAGAGGTTCTGCAACTCATTTCTTGGTCTGGTTTAGCTGCGCTGATATGATCTTGGTAGGATTGAAAATATTCCATAGAGGTGTGAGTTGTATAGTAGTTTTGTAACCGGTGTGAAGAAGCTTACAAGTGGGGATGTGTTCTTGTGACGTTCACAGAGCACGATGAATGAGTGGCGTCGGCTCTCCGACATGCTCGTGCAGCAAGTGCTGTCGTTATGCGCCACACTCGACTTGTGTAGGTTTCGTGCGGTATGCAAGAGATGGAACTCTCTGATCTGCGCGCCAGAATGTGGAAAATTTCTTTGTTTCCGGAATGCGAATGAAGATGCTCGTTACATCATCGGGCGTTGTTTTCACCAACACTTTGAGACAAGCCTTACTGACATTGATGGCAGTACGCTTAAATACATTAAGGTTGTTGGGTGGAAAATATTTGACCTGAATGACAGGCGGTGGTACACATGGAAGGGGCCTTTACTGAGCACTTATTCCAATGACCACCCTCTGGTTTCGGATGAGGATTTGATCGTATTATGCGGCACCACTACAATGGCTGCTGCTAATGACCATCCTCTGGCTTCGGATGAAGGTTTAGTAGTATGTTGCTCTGTGTTGGCCGGTACAGCAACCATTTCCGAGATAGTCATTACTAACCCCATTGTGATGACCAAAATGGTACTGCCAATGCCAGTGGCATGGAATAATCTCTATTTATCCAGTTTTCTAGTAAATCTGGCCGTTGACAGCATCTCCCAGGCCTACAAGATTTTCCTCATCAACAGATATGAAGACCCCTTTATGTGTGTTTTTGCTTCCACTACCAATCAATGGCGGATCTCGAGTAACCCGCCCGTGCTGCGGCTGCACGATGGGGCAGGGGCTCAAGCACACAGCGTCATATTTCAGGGGCAGTTGTACGTTTTGTTTAAAACTTATCGTGTCCCTGGGTCAAATGAAGGGTGGCCATTCAAATTTTGGCTTCATAGATACACCTTCCTGGAGGATTTTTGGACAGATTGCGGAGTGGACTTCCCGGAGTGGCCAGATAATGGTATTGATCGAAAGGAACTCGTTGTCAGCAGAAATCGCTTGTTTGTGGTGAGCGGACATACGTTGCATCTGGAGACGAGAGAAGGTTCGATTAGAATGCTGGATCCATTAAGTGTATTCGAAATTTTGCTCGCAGATGGCACCTTCATCACAGAGTCCCATTTGGCAGAACCTTCGTTCGATGCGCAAGAGCTGGAGGTGGATGGCCCAACTGACGAATTCTTTGATGCGAAACTTGGGGAGCAGGTGGCTGTGAGATCATTCGTTTTTAACCAGGCGTTTGGTTTTGGCAATTCCATTATGCTTACGTATAGATGGCTTGGATTCTCGATAGTATATAACGTGGAGACACGTTTGTGGGAATTATTGCCTACAGATCCAACTGTTGAGTTGTATGGGAATGTGATGCCTCTGCGTCCACCTAGAACCTTTGGTAAACCAATCGCAGGAGAATTGGTGGCATTGAATGATTCCTGAGCACAACTCAACAAAGGAAAGTTTTATTTTTGTATATTTACCCCACTATGAAGTCGATGCGTAAAGTGTTGAGAATTGCTGGAGATGGATCATGATGAGTGTGGAGTCCATGACTAAGATAGCCATGGTTTGCAAGTTCTAGTGCCCAACTTTAGATTAGCTTTGCAGCACATTGTAGTAAGTTACTACCACTTAGAAAATAGATAGACTTTCTTCACGGACTTTCTTCACAGGAATGCTTCAGCATTGAAAACATTCAAGTTAGTTCCTTTATATTCCAGTTTGTTTGTTCCCATTTCTAACATGTGATAGACCATTTCCTTTAAACTAACAGTGACAATAAATTTTGCTTTTGTCAAAGTATCTAATATCAAGTGATGCATAAAAATTTCAGCATTAGTCAAGTTGGAATGTTGTCATAATAAGTGAAGTCTTGCTTGAGAATGCTCTGGGCACCTGATTGTGGAAGGAAGAATAGAAATTGCAATAACAAAACCCTAATTCTAATAGAATACTAACAATGCTTTAATTGGACCACAATAATGCTAAATAAGCTTAATCGAATTCAAAGAAACCTCAAAGTAATTTCAAAGAAACAATAAGAAATCTTAAAGAAATATTAGAATAATCACAAATATCTCTCAAATATATCTCAATTCAATCTTAATTTAATCCTAGTCAAAATCCTATTGGACTTCATTCAAACTTTAGGACAAAATTAATTAAATCTTAAATCCTAAATAAATCCTAATAAAATCCTAAATCAAATCCTAATCAAATCCTAAATCCAAATCTGAAATCCTAAACCAAACCCTAACCAAATCCTAAACCAAATCCTTAACCCTAAATCAAACCCTAACCAGATTTTAGGGTTTAGGATTTAGGGTTCTAGGGTTTAGGATTCTAAGATTCTAGGGTTCCAGGGTCTTAAGGTCTCGAGCAAGTTTAGGGTTTAGGAGTTATGAGGTTTTCAAAATCCTAAAAGTTGTCTTTGATTAATATATGAGGAAACAAAAAAATGAAATTAAATTAAATGTATAATAAATACATAGAGGCACCTAGATATAATACTAATATATTAAATAGCATATGTACATATATGTCTTTTTTTTGTTTCAAAATATTATATGTATACTATTTTTTATGTATTTCTACAGTTTAGGATTTAGAAGGTTTAGGTTTAGGATTTAGGGTTTAGGGATATAAGAGTGTCCTAGAGGTTTTTGATCCTATATATCTCTCAATGTATCATAGTTTTTTCCAGTTTGAAATTTTGTCAAGCCTTATATTGTCTCAAAGACGTCTATAAATATTTTTGTTTCTCAAAAATATGTATTTCATTTTTCAGATTTTAGGATTTAGGGATCCTAATTCAGAATCTGAATTTTATATTTGTTGTCATGTGAGAACTATGTAAAGAGTTGGAATGCATACCAAATTTCGCTATGCCAAAACAAATCCCGAGTGTATGGCGTCACCAAATTTGTTGTCCATGTTAACTAGATGGGTTGTGGTTTTTAGGTCTTAGGGTCTTAGGATTTGAGGGTCTTAGGGTCTTAAGGTTCTAGGGCCTTGGAATTCTAGGATCTTGGAGTACTAGGATCTTAAGGTTCTAGGGTCTTAGGATCTTTGGATATTAGGATTCTAGGGTATTAGGATATTAGGGTTCTAGGGTCTTAGGGTTCATGGGTCTGAGGATTCTAGAGTCTTAAGGTTCTAGAGTTCTAGGATCTTAGGATTCTAGAGTGCTAGGGTCTTAGGGTTCTAGAGTTCTAGGATCTTAGGATTCGTGGGACTTAGGGTTCTAGACTTCTAGGATCATAGGGTTCGTGGGTCTTAGGATTCGTGGATATTAGGATTCAGGATCTTTGGATTCTAAGGTCTTAGGATTCTAGGGTTCTAGGATCTTAGGATCTTAGGATTCTAGGGTCTTAGGATTCTAAGGTTCTAGGGTCTTAGGGTTCTAGGATTTAGGGTCTTAGGGTCTTAAGGTCTTGGGGTCTTAGGATTCTAGGGTTCTAAGGTCTTAGGATCTTAGGTTTTAGGGTCTAAGGTCTTAGGATCTTACGATTCTAGGGTTTAGGATTCTAAGATTTTAGGGTTCCAGGGTCTTAGGGTCTCGAGCAAGTTTAGGATTTAGGAGTTATGAGGTTTTCAAAATTGCAAAAGTTATCTTTGATTAATATATGAGGAAACAAAAAAAATAAATTAAATTAAATGTATAATAAATACATAGAGGCACCTAGATATAATACTAATATATTAAATAGCATATGTACATATATGTCCTTTTTTGTTTCAAAATATTATATGTATACTATTTTTTATGTATTTCTACAGTTTAGGATTTAGAGGGTTTAGGTTTAAGGTTTAGGGTTACAAGAGTGTCCCAGAGGTTTTTGATCCTATATTTCTCTCAATGTATCATAGTTTTTTCCAGTTTGAAATTTTGTCAAGCCTTGTATTGTCTCAAAGACGTTTATAAATATTTTTGTTTCTCAAAAATATGTGTTTCATTTTTCAGGTTTTAGGGTTTAAGGACCCTAATTCGGAATCTGAGTTTTATATTTGATATCATGTGAGAACTATGTAAAGAGTTGGAATGCATACCAAATTTTGCTATGCCAAAACAAATCCCGGGTATATGGCATCACTAAATTTGTTGTCCATGCTGACTAGATGGGTTGTGGGTTGTAGGTCTTAGGGTCTTAGGATTTGAGGGTTTTAGGGTCTTAGGGTCTTAGGGTTCTAGGGTCTTGGGGTTCTAGGATCTTGGAGTACTAGGATCTTAGGATTCTAGGGTCTTAGGATTTAGGAATCTGCCAACGTAACGACAGGGACGGTGGTTGGCATTGATGGCAAAGAACACGACGGCACGAGACGAGGAATGAATGCAGCATATGGCTATTGCCACTGCAATGCCCAATTGGGTGTGAATAGCGGAGCAGGGTAGAAGGATGGGTGGGAGATTGGGAAATGTCTATTGGAGTGTGAGTCCTTCGTATTTGCTCCACATTTTCTCAGACCGGGTCCTGACACCTCCTTATTGCACGTTTTATAATATGCATTTCAATGTTGGAAGCATAGGTGTTGATTGTGCCCAACGCTTTAGCAATGCGGTTAAGCTTCAACAACAACAACAACATTAAGATCGAAGATGTAGATTACTACGAAGTCTGCAAGCCATCCACTCATAACTATATCAGCTGCACAAAGCTTCTAGACCTGCTTCAAATGGTGATGTCCAAAGCTGATGATCTTACAATAGATCAATACCTTGGATTAGGGTATACAATTTATAGGGGTAGTCTTCGAAATAAAAGCTCCCAATGGTAATTTCTAGGTCCAAAGTATACCCTACAAACAAGAGATGATCTGGATTTTTATTCCTAAACCTAGGTATTGTCCAAGACGAAGACTCGATGAGGGAAAATATACACAAAAAGGCTATCTCGATATAATAAGTCAAAATATAAACAAGTAGGTATATTAAAAGGAAACTGGAATGGCTATTGCCACAAGACAAGAAACTAAAGACTCTTAAACCTGGACTAGAAGCAAGAAAGGAGTTGACAAGAGTGAAGAAGCCTTCACTCTTGTCTCTATATATACTATCTAACTAAGAGCTACGTGGCGATGTTCTATAGGACCTCCAATAGGTGTTGACTTTGTAGGGCACATGCCTTGACTTACAAGGCAAGTTTTTCTACGTGTGGGCCACATAGTTAGCTTGAACTTCAAGCTAACAACATGTGTGGCACATGGCCAACTTGTTGACCACGTTTCTAATCCAAAAAGTCAATTAAAGACACCTATGAAGTCAAAGCAGCATCTAAGAAGTTTCTACGAAGCTTCTATATTAAATATTATAGAATTAACTTACTTTTATCTACTTTTACTTACTTCTACCTATTTCTATATGTAATTATTAGCTTACATGATTATGGCCGTGACATTACCCCCCCTTCTAGAGATGAGTTATACGAGGAGCGATCATCATATGTTGAGGAAATCTATGATGCGACGAATTATATTTGCCACATACTCTGATCTCTGTTCTCTTCGAAGATGATAAATAGGGCCTCTCAACCATCGGTAGTGTCCCATACCAGGGCAGGAAGACCACCCAGTTATTTGATCATTGTTGAGGCCTTCGTAACTTCCTTCAAATAGAATATTTGGAACACCATCAGGAGTTGTTCCTACCTCTAGCAAAATCACCAAACATCGGGAGTCCCTTCCCAAATCGTGATACCAAACGCGTTGTATCTCACCATCTATTCGAGGAAGAACATGTCGTTCTTGAAGATTTTCATCTCGATTGCGTCGTCTTGAAGGTTGTGACAATCGTAATGTCTCGTCGAGAAGGTCAACAAACGAAGGTTCTTGAGTTGAATCTGCTGGTTATTAGCTCTCCATCTAATTAGCATCACAAATGCAAAGAAGTTACAAACAAGGATAGGAAATTGAATGTTATCTTGCCTCAATCTTGTCTCTTTTATAAGAGAGATTTTCATCTTGGTTTTGATGGATGTCGTTGATAAAAAACTTTGACTTTAGCTAATGCATTTGCTAGATTCCTGGATGGCTCCCATGTGCGTTCACTAATATCATATCTGCGCCAATGAACAAGATATTCCAGCTTATTTCGGCGCCGCCTTGAGTCTAATATCTCTTCCACCTCAAATTCTTCATTATTATCTACTTCTATAGGAGGCGGTGGCATTTGTCTTCTTCCTTATATATCCACTGTCTTATATGGTTCAAGAAGAGATACGTGGAATACAGGATGGATCCTCATTGACTCCAATAGATGTAACCGATATGCAACTGGGTTGATCTGTTCAGAAACAGAAAAGGGGCCAAGCCTACGATAGTCCAACTTGTCACAAGATCGAGTAGTCTTGATATTGCGATGAAGTAGCCATACCTTATCACCCACGTTGATTTGTGGTTGCTCCTTACGATATAGATCTGTGTTTATCTTTTGTCGTTCTTGAGCTTCCTTCAATTGCGTCTTCATTATTGCATGTAACTCTGACAACCGATTTGCCATATCTTCTGCTGCAGGATTATCAACTTTTGAAAAATCAAAAGTATCAAGTCGTGGATGATAGCCATAATTGGCAAAGAAAGGTGTTTGTTGCGTGGAAGAATGTACCGTATTATTATAAGCAAACTCTGCCAATGGCAGAAGGGTTGTCCAATCATCTTGTTGGTAGTTGATAGTACACCTTAAATATTGCTCCAAGACTTGGTTTACGCGCTCTGTTTGTCCATCAATTTGAGGATGGAAAGCCGAAGATAGCTTTATGTCCACTTTTAAAATCTTGAAAAGGGTCCTCCAAAATCTTGACACA